TCCCAAAGGAATGGCAGTGATGGGAGCAAATCCCTGTTCCTGTCCCAAAGGAATGGCAGTGATGGGAACAAATCCAACCCCAAAACAGCTCTGCCATGGCACAGAGCTCAATTCCACACATCCCCCGAGGCTGAAGTGCCACAGCTGAAAGGACAATGCCACAATGTCCCCTGTCATTGTCACTCCAGCCCTGAGCTGCAATAAAAGTGYCTTTGTACAGACACAACAGTGATTTAGGAAAACATTTGCACTGACCACTGCAGAGATCAGAGCGGGTTTAATCGCAGGAGAGGCTTCACCGCAGAGCTTTGTTCTCACTGCTTTTTCTTCCCTTTCTTTTTGATAGAGCCAGGCCAGGGAAAACCRCGGAATTCCAGGAAGGCAGAGGCGTTGTGGGCGATGTAGTAAGCGTTGAGCATGGCAGATTCACCGAACAGATCCACCTCCCCTTTCTTCTTTCCACCCTTCTTGGAGTCTTTGCCTTTTCCTTTGCCTTTCCCTTTTCCTTTTCCTTTTCCTTTTCCTTTGCCACCGCCACCGCCTTTGGATTTCTTGCTTTTGCCCGCCTGCAGAGAGAAAATGATCACAAACCCTCTCAATTTGGGGTTTTTGCTTCAGTTCTGGGTAGAGGATCCCAGGCTGGGAGTGTTCAGCTGAGAAGGWTCCAGGGAGAGCTTCCAGAATATTCCAGGAGAGCTGGAGAGGGACTGGGGCCAAGGGCTGCAGGGACAGGACACAGGGAATGGATCAGAGTGGAAAAGGGGAGATTGGGCTGGGATCTGGGGAAGGATTTGGGAATTCCTGCCTGGGATGGAATTCCCAGAGAATTCCTGGATCCCTTTGAGTGCTGGAGCCCCCTGGGACAGTGAGGGTGTCCCTGACATGGCAGGGGTGACACTGGATGAGCTTTAAAATCCTTCCAGCCCAAACCATTCCAAGAGATCCCAGAGCAGCTCTTTTGCTCCAACTTTTTCCGGCTCTCAGAGCCCCTCATCCAGACCCCAGGACTTTTCTGGAAAGACTCCCAAGCATTAAAACACTTTCATCAAATCCCTGATTGCTCTGGAGGCTGTGAGAACCTTTAAAACCACCAGACTGAGCTGATTAATGTCTCCCTGGCTTAAAAAAGGTTTGTGCATAATGCAAGTCAAACATCCTCTTCCACTGATTTTAAAATCTATTTTCATGTATTTATTTATTATTTTATTTTTCTTTTTATTATTTTAAATTTATTTTTAATTAATGCATTCATTTAAAATTATTAAAATAAAATCCTGAAGTAACTTGGACTGTGTTCATCCACTCCTGTGTGTCTGTGATTTTTCACACAAACCCCAAACTGTGATTGTAGCAGATTTTCCATGTTATAATTTCTAAAATTTATTTYTAAAATTTCTCTCACACTCAGCTCACCACTACTCAGTGCAAAAGAGACAAACATTTGTGCTGAGAACAGAGTAAAGGGCATAACCCTCAGAATCAGCCGGGACCACGGTGTAAAAAAACAGGAACATGTAATAAAATACTTTTTAAAAATCAAATTTTCCATGTAAAACACACAGACCCTCTAACGGAAAGAAAAAAGAGAAAATAAAAGTGTAAGCTGCAGATGACAAAGTTTTTGCAGACTGAAACTACTCGACCTCAGACATAGGTTGGAGGTGGTGACAAAAATCTTTCACAGACTTTAACTGGGCAGAATTTGTGGAATATTTCACAGGCTGGAATGTGGCTGCTCCTCAGGGAAATGTTTAGGTCACATTTTGGAGTCACCTGAGTCCCATTCCTTGTTTGCCCAGGGTCTGTGAATTCAGCCTGTTCCTCAGAATTCAGCCTGTAGCTGATATTTCAAAATAYAAAAGATGCTCACAGGCTTTATATGCAATGTACAAAATTTTACAGCCTGCAGCCAAAACAAGAAAAGCTAAAAATCAGCAAAATGAACTTGGGCAGATCAGGTTTGTCCTGCAGGCGTGAGAAGGAACCTTTTGGATATTAATTCTTTTTCCTTAAATAGGTGATATCAACAATTCTGAAGGATCAAAGGTGTTTTACCATGGCTGAGTCTTTTCACTGACAGGTTGGGACTCCAAGTCAAGCCCTGAAGATGACCCTGGAACACGAAATCACATGGTGAGTTTAAAAGGATAAAGGTAAAAAAGTTTAAAAGGATAAAGGTAAAAAACAATCTCTTGCAAAAACTGCTCGAGGTGGGGCATTAGTGAAAGCTCACAGTCACCTGGGAAATAATCTAATTGTCATGTCATAGAACTTGGAGTTTTTCAGCAAAGCCCTTGAGATTTACAGTCACAGAATCCTGGAAAAGGTTTGGGAAAGGGTTTGATGCCTTAAAAATCGGGCTGAGAGAGCTGGGAAAGGGTTTGGGAAAGGGTTTGATGCCTTAAAAATCAGGCTCCCCTAAATCAGAGGCCAGACAAATTTAATAGAATGAGAATAGACCTATGAGGAGAACCTGAGGGAACTGGGAAAGGGTTTGATGGCTTAAAAATTAGGCTGAGAGACCTGGAAAAGGGCTTGACGCCTTAAAAATCAGGCTGAGGGAGCTGGGAAAGGGTTTGATGTTTAATTCCAAACGTTTTGACGTTTAATTCCAAACGTTCCCCAGCACTGCCAAGGCCACCACTGCCCCATGTCCCCAAGTGTCACATCCACAGGGCTTTTAAATCCTGCAGGGATGGAAACCACCCCTGCCCTATGCAGCTGTGCCAGGGCTGGACAGCTCTTTTAGAAAAGGAATTTTCCCGCTATCCAGTCTAAAATTCTGGCACAACTTGAGGCTGTTTCCTCTTGTTCTGTCCCTTGTTCCCTGGGAGCAGAGCCCGACCCCCACTTGGCTGCACATTCCTGAACAAGATCCTTCCTGAATCTCTTTACCTCCCCAGGCCCCCTCTCTCCCTCACCGCCCCGTGTAGAAATGGCAGAATTTCACCTTCCTGGCTCCACATCAAGGGAAGCAGCCCCRGCCCCGCTCCCCCCGCAGGGCCGCCATGGCCKCCTCTTCTTCCCCACAGCGTCGCGTTGTCATAGCAACGCCTCGGGGGCGGGGCCTGATTCTGATTGACAGCCCCCTCAACCAATCCGCTGCTGAAGCGCCCGCCCCTCGCCCAATCCGCTGCCGGGGGCGGTGCCCTGGCGATCTTCCCGCCACTGATGTCACGGGGAAAAGGGCGGGAAAAGCTGTGAGGGGAATGAGGGGAGCGATCGCCGCCATTGCTGTCCTTGTCCCRCCCACAGCCAAAAAGCGCAGGGAAATGTCCGAAAGAGGCAAAAAAAAACCCCCACCACAACAACTTCAAGCAGAGGAGGAGGGGAGGAAGTGATGCTTTCCAAAAGTCTTGGAAAGATTGGTGTTTGGTGGACTATTAATGGAATATTCACATTATTGCTGCGTGACACAGAGGAGTCTCTTTAAACACCTGATTCCTTCACCATTAAAATATTTAAAAAACAATCTCTGCTCTGCTTCCTTTGAGAGGCACAGCTCTGGACAGCAAACACTGAAAATTATGTGTAATAAAGGTTGGATATTTCCAATAAATCCCCATAAACATGTCTGAGACTCAGGAAAGAGATGGAGGGGTCTCAGGGAGAGACAAAGATTTGAAGGGTTCATTTTGTTCCCTTTTTAAGACACAACAGTTTTATCCAGAGGTGGTAACACTTCTAAAAACAAGGTAATTTTTTAAAATTTGGGATAAAATATGGGAGAGGTGTCTCTCTYGCATCCCTTGGCACAAAAGATTTTCACTTGCACTAAGATTTCTGCTAAAAAAAAAATTTAAAATATCAAAAGGTACGAGTGAAAAAATCAATAGGAGCTGAATTCTCTCAAAAATTTTAAAAAAAAAGCTCATAGTTGTAGTATTGCTGAACTCCATCAAACATAAATCATGGCCTTGGACACTGCCAGGGATGGACAATTTGTGCCTCACCACCCTCACAATAAATTATTCCTCAAGAAAATTCCTTTTTTACTTTCCAGCAGGGAAATTTTTGGTAGCATAGCTCAGGAAGAAGGTCTGTGGATTTTGGAGTAAAATTCTCTTGAACAAGCCTCAGATAATGAAAGAAAAATTAAAAAAAAAATATTTTTACCGTGTTCATGGCAATTTTGTGTTATTTATATCAACAAACCACAGGGC